GTAAATTGTGATATTTTTTTTTATACAACTTAGAATGGCAAACAAGCTGACAGCCCACCTGAAAATGATAAGACAAAATAAATATAAAGGTTATAAAGGAATCACTCATAACTATTTATCACGCAAAATTGTATGAAAAAGTTAACCCGTTTTTCTCGGAGCATTTCTATGGAGACACTCTATCTATATAATCTAAGGTATGTATGTATAGACAGCAGATATGGCTCCATCAAATAAACCATCAGCTTGCTTGCTATTTTATATTTTATAACATAATAATGATATTCTCTTAAATCTTAGACACACACATTTAAATCTAGATTTAATGTACGAATTATATTTAGTTTCTCATACTTTTACTTCACGAGACGCTATCAATACATGACATCAAATTCTCAGCTCATTTTAGTTTCTAAAATTTTAAGCACGACTCACTCATTTCTCATAAACATTTTAATATAAATACTTTGCTACATTTAAAACATTTATATCATAATACATATACAGAGAAATAACATTGGAGTCCTCAGGAATGGGAACGCATGAATGCATGTATCATGGGCGAAACAATGTACTCTGTTATGTCCATGGTACTGCTCATGTCTATAGGCGACGGTTACCACTTTCCGTCAGGTGGGCCGTCAGCTTGTTTGCCATTCTAAGTTGTATAAAAAAAAATTACATTTTAATAATTAGCTACACATCTCATTTGACCCTGTATGGTCCTGGCATAGAATAGGCCACCCCTTCCTTTCCCGTGGGTGTTGTAAAAGTCTACTAAGGAGAGCGAAGGATGGGTAGCAGCGTTCCTCTTAAAATTGCCAATCCACCTGTCAAGCGTGGCAACTACTGGCAAAACCCCCCCAAGGGGAGACTTATGTTCAGCAGTGCAGAGTTAAAGGCTGATATGCGATGATACATTTCACAGAAAGCATTTTAAACGGATGTAATGATCTTAATCGAGTGTGAAACAATTCTATATGTGGTATGTTCACATAACTCGACATAACACGACACGTGTTGCGCGCCAAGCTGATGACGGCACGATAAAGTACCGCAAGCAACAGGGTTGCCACTGTTACAAAAATAATAAGAGCATTTTACACAACAAATACAATGGTGCAGAGTCGCCCATGATACCCCCCATGCGTTGCCATTCCTGAGCACTCAGGTGTTATTCCTCTGTACCCAGTAAATTCACGCCACATCCCACCCTTCAAACCGAAACACAGTCATGCAAACACAACTGCTTCACGGTTGAAACACAAATGCGACAGAGGTACCCAAGCAATCGACTTTTGTACAAAGTCTCCCTCTGGTGAGGGTGGTTGTTATTTAATTTCTTTTTGTTTTTAGTAATGGTAATCATTCGCTACTAGTTTACGCTGGCGGTGTGCTAATGAGAGATGGTGGTAACGGCCGTCTATAAACATGAAATAAATAAATAACTAAAATAAAAATATTTTTATGTTAACTGATGACACGATGATATAGGCAGCAGCATACCTCTTTAAATATCATTAAAGCCTGTAATTTCCTACCTACTTGGCAACTACTGGCAAAACCCCCCAAGGGGCGTTCACCAGTGGACAGTTAGTGGCTGATATCATCACCATATTATTGTATTTATATTTTTATTTTATGTTAATTTTAAATTTAAATTACTAAACTGTCCCATTCGTGTTTCTAACGCGAAGCAGTTGTGTTTGCATGGCTGTGTTTCGGTTTGAAGGGTGGGATATGGCAGTGAATTTACAGAGTAAAGCGAAATAACACCGGAGTCCTCAGGAATGGCAACGCATGGGGAGTATCATGGGGGAAACAGTATGTGTGTGTACTGTTATGTCCATGGTACTGCTCATGTCTATAGGCGACGGCTACCACTTTCCATCAGGTGGGCCATCAACTTGTTTGCCATTCTAAGTTGTATAAAAAAAAAACTAACTTTGATAAGACATGTTCGATTACAAAATAAGCCAAGTATTGAAGATTAGAATACTCGTTTATAAAAATAAAATATCCATTTCATCTTTAACGTACAGCGTGATTATATATATACCGTATGGTCCCGGCATAGAATAAGCCACCCCTTCCTTTCCCGTGGGTGTCGTAAGAGGCGACATAGGGAGGTCGACGGTTGTCAGCAGCGTCCCTCTTAAAACATCTCCAACACCAACTACGGTTGCCAATTCGCCTGCCAAGTTGTGCCACTACTGGCATAACCCCCTAAAGGCTTATGTACAGCATTGGACAGTTAAAGGCTGACATGATAATACGATATGATTATGTATACGTTTGGCGGACTTAACACCATTGGACAAGCAGAGAGACATGTAGGCGGTGCTACAAACAAATATTTGTAATACCAAAAAAAAAAATTGCGCAAAAATCACGATGGGATATTTTACAAACAAGTTTCACAGCTCGTCCGATTGCGAATTTCACGAGTGGAACCATCTGTTGTCACTCAAGCGACACGTTGAGAAATCTGATCGAATCCGATGGGAAAATCCACCATAACCGACGCCGCTGTTTGTAAGAGACGGGCCAATTTGTATCGGCCGTAGTGGAGTTTAAAATTAAGTATATTGAACTGCCACCATGGCTAATAGTTTGATAAAACTGGATTTATTAAACTTGCACAATATCTTTATCTATTGCATCTTGAATGTTTAGGCAATAATGTATTTTATATATAATAGAATTTTAATAGAGTTTAATGAACGGGTCAGCACGTTTAGTAAGATTACCACATAATCACGCTCTCAATGAAGTTAGTAATAATTGAATTGCATTCCACAAAGAAAAGCTTGACATAAATTATTCAGTATTTCCGAACCGATACCACAACGTAACCTTCAAAGAGCATATTCCTTTTTAAAAGGCCGGCAGCACACTTGCAATGCCGTTGGTGTTGTGGGTGATCATGGGCGGCGGTAGTCACTTACCATCAGGTGAGCCGCATGCTCGTTTGCCCCCTGTGTTATAAAAAAAAATATGGGTAGAACAATTATTTAGACTTAAAAACTCAACTTCTAAATTGATTCTGAATAAATTTCTATTGGACCAATTTTTAAGCATATTGTTTTAAATAAAAAAAGGAATTTTCCAAATCGGTTTACAACTGACGGAGATATGATATAGCAAATATAAAAAAAATAGGGGGGAAAGGGATTGTTAGTAATGGAGACTGAGAATCCCATTGCTAGAAATATATCCAGCTAGGTCAACCTCCTCGCGGTTCTCTCTGGAAACTATCACGGTTAATTCCTGATAAATTCATCGTGATAAGCTAACTGGCCTGTTTTCATTCTCATCTATCACCCTTCACTGGTGCTCCGCCAGCGTATCCCGTTAGCGCAGGCGGGGTTACCATACAATTTTCACTCATCAAAAAAAAATACATCGTCAAATCCTAACTACGGTTAGCGCCTACTACAGACGGGTTAGTCTGCTAAACGTGGCAACTACTGGCGAACCCCTCCAATTGGAAGAGGCTCATGTTAAGCAGTGGACAGTTGACAGCTGATACGATGATGATGATGATGTAATCATGATGGTGATGAAAAGGATTAATAGAATGTAATGTATCTATTAAATGTCGGGTTTAATACAGGTAAATTATTTCTCGATTCGCCCAATGGTTGACTGGTAGAGAACACCATCCTGTGTTAACTCCGCCAAATATACGTAGAATTTTACTGTGCATTAAAGTTTAAATAAATAAATAAAAATAATTTATATAATAAAATAGAATCGATACTCATGAAGATCCATAAAGGCTTCAAAGTCTCCTTGTGACCTCATTAAGGCACACTCGCTCACTGTCACTTCGGAACGTACTCTACATTCGTTGCCAATGATTCTCTCACAAATATTTCTGGCCGCACCAACTTGACAACAGAATGGGCCTTATAGAATTCAATCTATTGGTGTGAATTCACCATTTCGTAACACAAATAACTTAGTCCCCATTGAGGAATGCATACAGATGGGAGAATTTTTATCTCATTGTTCGGTCTCGTAAAGAAATAGCCTTTTTACTGGCACGTGTAATAGATGCATTGTATTGTAATTTATTGTGTTTGATCATGAATAGAGAATATTAATAAAATAATATATAATAGGTATTAATACATATATATTTTTTTTTGATGGATGAAAATGGTATGGTAACCCCACCTGCGCTAACGGGATACGCTGGCGGAGCACCAGTGATGGGTAATAGGTGAGAATTAAAACAAGCCAGTTAGCCCATCATGATGAATTCATCAGAAATTAACCATGATAGTTTCGAGGGGGAACCGCGAGGAGGTCGACCTGGTTGGGTATATTGCTAACAATGGGATTCTCAATCTCCATTACTAACAATCCCTTTCCCCCCCATATATATATATATATATTGTCGCCGTATGGTCCCGGCATAGAATAAGCCACCTTTTCTTTCCTATGGGTCTCGTAAGAAGCGACTAAGGGAACATAATGATAGAGAAATGGACAGCAGCGTTTCTTTGCAAACATCACCAACTCAAATGCAAAGCGAAGCAACCCCCCCAAGGGGGAGGCATATATTTAATGGACGGCTTAAATATATTTTTTTTATACAACTTAGAATGGCAAACAAGCTGACGGCCTTCCTGATGGAAAGTGGTGACCGTCGCCTATAGACATGAGCAGTACCATGGACATAACAGAGTATACTGTTTCGCCCATGACACCCATCATGCGTTGCCATTCCTGAGTACTCAGGTGTCATTCCTCTGTACCCTGTAAGTTCAGGCCTTCAAACCGAAACACAGCCATGCTTCACGGTTGAAATACGAAAGGGACAGTGGTACCCAAGCAAACAACATTTGTACAAAGTCTCCCTCTATGATGATGATGATGATCAATCAATCAATCATTTATTTGCATATATATGATGATATGGCATATAATTTAAAAATATCAAGACTGAACATACTATGATTTGTACAATAATATATTTTTTTGTATTCCAGGTTGCAACTTTTATCCTGTCGGTGAATACCTAAAGTTCGTGAGGATACCAGAGAGCCTCCAAGTCGGGGAAGAGGTGCTGCAAGTTGAAGTGCATCCCAGGTAAGGTTATATTAATAGATTGACTTAAAAAAAATGGAGGATGTACTCGATTCGGTGGCATTTTTTTTATGATTTTGACTTCATAACTACGTTGATGTAAACCGATATGGAATATTCTATTTGTCCTATAGCAGCTTTATCAAAATTGATTCAATTAGTTTAGTTTTTAAATCATAGTGACTAAATTTTTAAATTAAAATCAATTGATTTTAGTATGATTGAAGCCGTTTTCTTGCGAAACACTATTCTCAGTTATTTTGAATATTATAAATAATTACTAAATGCATATATTCATTTATTTACCAGAGGGAGACTTTGTACAAAAGTCGATTGCTTGGGTACCTCTGTCCTATTCGTGTTTCAACCGTGAAGCAGTTGTGTTTGCATGGCTGTGTTTCGGTTTGAAGGGTGGGATATGGCGTGAATTTACTGGGTACAGAGGAATAACATCTAAGTCCTCGGGGATGGCAACGCATGGGGGGTATCATGGGCGAAACAGTATACTCTGTTATGTCCATGGTATTGCTCATGTCTATAGGTTACCACTTTCCATCAGGTGGGCCGTCATGCTTTGCCGTTTGCCATTCTAAGTTGTATAAAAAAAAGTTCATGTCGCCATCTGAAAAGTTAAGGAACTTGTTTATTACTATGTTTTTAAAATAGTCTTCATTTCGTAAATTAGAAAGCCTTTAGTGTGGTTTACCGGGGCAATCATTAAAATTTTTAAATGAAAAACATTATTTAAAAAAATTCGCAACTTCAAGTCGATTATGAGTCTTAGGATCTCGATCTTAAATCTAGGTCTAGTCTATCTAGGATCTAGGTCTTAGGATCTAGATCATTTAGTTGCGTTGTCTAACCGCGATGTTACCGCACTTAACTACTTAATTTTATCATCGTCTTTATCATATCAGTTATTAACTGTCCTCAATTAAATATAGGCCTCCCCTTAGGGGGTTTTCGAATAGTTAGCACGCTTGGCATCTACTTAATAATGTTGCAAAGTTCGTTAACAAAGATTGTTATAACGACGGACGTTATGTAGATTAAAATTTTTAAAATTAAATTCCAGTACTATATTTTTTAAAGCGCGAACTTGCACTATAAAATTAATACGCGACCAACTAGGAAGTAAACCCAATTGATTACAAAAATAATTATAAAAATCGGTTTAGAATTTGTGAAGTTAATTCATTTATTTATTACATCCACTGGGCCTTACAGTCTTCCAATACGCTCACCCAGGAAAGCATGAGTACAACAACATATAAAAAGGAATATTGCACAAAAATAATATAAAAAAATTTAACTGAAACAAAAAACGTCTGAACACAAATACTCTGTGGTCACCCGACGAAACTCCAGCAAGTTGGAGGCATATATATCTAATTGCGAATACTGGCTCAAAATATCATTGAGTAGTTTCAATGCAAGAGATAGCGGACAGACACAAATTTTAAACCATAGCCATAGATAGCCACCAAAAAATACTGGCGCATTGAAAGCGTCCTCTTTGTTGAAGTCGGTTAAAAACACAAAGAATTTAACCATCAACTATTTCAAATAACGTATTGTATTCAATAAGCTTATGTTAATGTAAATAGTTTACGCAATTCAAAATTACCGAACAACAATGGCATTGCCGATTGCGTCGAAGATATCGCCCTAATCTATACAGATAACAACTGTAGTAGGTAGACGAAAGCGACAGTGGGTGGAAATTGGCATCGAATTTGAACAATAAACATAACTTGCAGTGTGCTAATGTGATTCTTACATAACAGCAATTACATATAATAGAATTCCGATAGAATTCTCTCGATAGAAACGCTAAGTAATGGTTATAATAATTGATCGACAATTTTGACGAACGCCATTTTTTCTAACAAACGTTTTAGTAAGTTCAATCTTTCAGTATCGTTATAAAGTTCCATTGTTTTTTATATGCAACTTAGAATGGCAAACAAGCTGACGGTCCACATGTTGGAAAGTGGTAACCGTCGCCTATAGACATGAGCAGTAACATGAACATAACAGAGTATAATGCTTCGCCCATGATACCTCCCATGCGTTACCATTCCTGAGGACTCAGGTGTTATTTCTCTGTATCCTGTAAATTTACTGCCAAATTCCACCCTTCAAATTGAAACACAGCCATGCAAACACAACTGCTTCATGGTAGAAACACGAATGGGACAGAGGTGCTCGAGCAAACTACTTTTGTACAAAGTCTGCCTGTGGTAAAGCCAGAGGCAGACTTTGTGACTTTTTTGACAGGGTATCATGGGCGAAACAGTATACTCTGTTATGTCCATGGTACTGCTCATGTCTATAGACGACGATTACCACTTTCCATCAGGTGGGCGGGCAGCTTGTTTGCCATTCTAAGTTGTATAAAAAAAATGCCAAGACAAATACAAGTACACAAACAAACAGATAGATACGATTTCTAAAATATATTATTTTGACTTCTATTTCTCTCATTAAGTCCCCTCATATTATTTTTTTCTTAAACATCACCCAAGAAAATCGTCTAATCACAATTTTATTACAGCCATTAGAAAGATTACACGAGAAACTCACTGAGGTCAACGCTAAAGTGATAATAAAGTGACATTAACACAGAAGTACAAGTAGCTATATAATATACATATATGCAATTTATAACAACGCGGAAACTGGTCGTATATTGTATGTATTTATGTAATCATTGACATAACGTTATTGAATATTCTCTCTATCAAATATTACGTACAGATATTCAAATCACATTAATATCAAACCCTTAGGTATATCTGTAGGTGTATATATATATATTATACTACTTAGAATGGCAAACAAGCTGACGGCCCACCTGATGGATATATAAAAATTAATGCCACTTTTCGTTGTAGTTTATAACTCAAGAACGAGCTCACCCATCCAAACTAAATGTTTAGGCTTTGTTCGGACTATTTAGTAGATGGTTTATGTGAAATTTGCACAAAATCGGTCGAGCGGTTCCTCATTTATCACATGTCAAATTGAAACTTTTTTCAGTGTTGACAGTACAAGTATGTTGGTATGTCAATCGTGTAGTCATTTCATTTTGGACGTGGTTAGATTAAAGCAAATTGTCACCGATAATTATTGCTTCGTGTTTATATTTTTAAACTTTAATATACATTTAAATTTTTTTTTTATTATTTCACTTTATACGTAGCGAAGTACGTACCGGACCGCTAGTATGGTATAAATAACATGCTCGTCATTGTAAATGATATAAAGATATGTATACAATTTTTATTTGATTTAATGTACTCTGAGGTAGTAACTTTTTTTAAGATGGGGATGCTCTGCTCATGTCTATAGGCGACGGTTACCACTTTCCATCAGGTGGGCCGTTAGCTTGTCTGCTATTCTAAGTTGTATAAAATAAAAACTGAAGCTAATTCTTTCTACGCAGTAAAAAACTGTTGCACAACGAAATCAATATGTAAACATGCAAAAAAATTCACACCATTTAACCTCCTTGAACTTCCGTCTTTAGGAGTTGCGACAAAAACACGAAATGTATGGAATAATTCTCTCACTGAATACTACTAACATATAGTCTTTTTTTTTTATACAACTTAGAATGGCAAACAAGCTGACGGCCTACCTGATGGAAAGTGGTAACCGTCGCCTATGGACAAGAGCAGTACTATGTGCATAACAGAGTACACCGTTTCGCCTATGATAACCCCTATGCGTTGCCATCCTAAGGACTTAGTTGTTATTCCTCTGTACCCTGTAAATTCACGCCATATCCCACCCTTCAAACCGAAACACAGCCATGCAAACACAACAGCTTCACGGTTGAAACACGAATGGGACAGTGTCTTACAGTCTTACACAACTCACAATATTTGACTTCGTTTATTACATATGTTTATCTTTCCCAGTGCAATAGGATTATGGATGCAACGACATTTTAGACTTAACACTTACGAAATTCCCACCTGAGGCGTAACTTGGTATTATTGAAATACAATTTGGGTGTTTACACTTATTTTGAGATACTCATTTATTGCACTAGCTTATGTCCGCGATTTTGCCTGCATGGGCATCTATTATTATTGAAATTCTGACTTCTATTAGGGAGAAAAACCTGTGACTTTTTTGTGCTCGCTCCTTTTTTAAAGTTCGCTTCTAATTCCTATCAGTGATGGAATCAGTCAGGAATGGTAACCCCGCCTGCGCTGTCGATATACACTGGCGGGGCACCAATGAGGGATAATAGGTGATCATGAAAGCAAGTCAGTTAGTCCGTCGTGATGAATGCAACAAGTATTAATCACGATGGTTTCCAGGGGGAACCGCGTGAAGGTCGACCTAACAGGGCTTGCTAGTAATGAGATCATTAGTCTCTATCACTAACAATCCCTTTCCCCCCAGTGATAGGTATTTTAAGATGTTTTTTTTTTGTAGGGATATTTTTTATCTCCTTTGATTATAAAATGTTTTCCAAATGAGATCTGTCGTTTACGTATGAATGGGCTACAGTCACAAATTAAGTGCTGCGGCGTTCCTTTCTTTTTTTTTTATACAACTTAGAATGGCAAACACGCTGACGGCCCACCCGATGTAAAGTGGTAACCGTCGTCTATAGACATGAGCAGTACCATGGACATAACAGAGTATACTGTTTCGCCCATGATACCCCCCATGCGTTGCCATTCCTGAGGACTCGGATGTTATTCCTCTGTACCCAGTAAATTCACGCTATACCCCACCCTTCAAACCGATTTTCATTCCCATAGATATGATTTTTTTAATGGGTGATAATGGAATGGTAACTCCGCCCGCGCTATCGGTGTACGCTGGGGGGCACCAGTGACGGATGATAGGTGACGATGAAAGCAGGCCAGTTAGCCCATCGTGACGAATTTTACTAGAATTAACCACGATGGTTTCTAGGGTGAACCGCGTGGAGCTCGACCTGATAGGGTGTATTGCTAGCCATGGGTCAGTTAGATCCC